CGGGGTGGAACCTCCCCCCCCCCCCCCCCCCCCGTAGAGCTCCATAACTCGATTTTTACTGCAGTGATCCAGCGGCAAGCGCAAAGTACGGAGTGTGTGTGTGTGTGTGTGTGTGTGTGTGTGTGTGTGCGCGCCACAGCTTTGTGATCCTTTGCAATCCTTCCAAGATGTTGCAAAGCAGATGCCCACAAATGAAATCACGTGGCGGCCAGATGGAAACGCCCCTCGCGGTCCCTTAAATGGGAGCGAACGAAAAGGGAGCCGGTGAACGACGGGCACGGTCCCGAACGCATCAAGGCCACCGGGAGGCTTGCGGAGGCCTTTTTTGCCAGGATCGCCTCCTCCCCCCCTCTCTTGCCGCCGTCACGGAAACGCAATCTGTGCACCCCGCCGACCGTGAGCTAATTGCTACCGGGGCCTCCTCGGTTGCCAAGAACGCTTCGGCGTTTGCTCGTATCGTTCGGGCTCATCGCGGTTGGGCCCGCAAAGTGTCAGCGTGGGTTTCGGAGGTTCATTTTCTCCATGCTGAGTGCATCCTGGTACTGTTGTGCTCCCTCCCTGCTTTTTCTGTCTGCCAAAGATCCTCCCACCGTGTGATAACCAGCAATGAGCGCAACATAATGGGATCACGTGGCTTCATTTCAGCACAGAGCGCATTTTACACCGGGTTCCACGCGGGGTATGAAAACGTATTTGCCGATAGGTTGGCGAATACACCGCTACCAGTAACTCTCGCTTTGACTTCGTCAGCACTGATCGCTCGTCCGGCACGAAGGTTGCAAAACATAATAGACCAACGCAGCTAGTTTTATTTGAGGTCAACATTTTTTCCCCCCCATCTTTCTTTATACCATTTATCCCACAATTATCCCGACTCTGACCAGATGTGAGAGTTTGTGCTCCAAAAAAAAAAAATAGAAGAAGACGTAAGTCAGTGACAAAATAATGCCAGTAATGCATGTCTGAAGCAATCATCGAATAATCGGAATGCTCGAATGGTCCAATTATTTTTCCTCAAAATACTCAGTGATATGAATTTTGTATTTTCATGTAGAAATTATATATATATCCTTCAGATGTTTTCAGTTTGTAGCTCTCCTACGAAGCAAATGTATGTCACCTTTTAGCCATGTTTTTTTTTAATTTATTTATTGAGATTGAAAAGGAAAAAAAAGTGAGGAGGGGTCTTATGTCGAGGAGCAAACAATAACGGTCAGCACGACATGGGTGTCAAAATGAATAAAAGGGGATGAAGGTAAATAAACGGAGTCCGATCGCTGGAGATATTTTCCTGCTGCTGGAAGAGACTTGATATTTGCAGCTCCAAGAAGAAGTCCGGAGTTGAAACCCGTGGTCCAATGCGTCAAAGTTTTCTGGCGGACTTACATGGAAGTTAGTCAAGCGCAGAAGAATGAAGCGCACGGTTTCATCGCCCCCCCCCCCCCAAATGGCTGAGCCTTGTCTGGGATTTCAAGGCAAAACAAAAATGTTGCTCTGAGGCAGCTCTTTAACTGGTGTTCTGGTGCAAGGAAAATTGCCATTAGACAGTGGAACAAATAACCTCAAATTGTCATGGGCGTCTTCGCCGGGGATCCGAAACAACAACAAAGAATTAATCAAATTAAAAGGAACCCATGTGATGAGATTTCAATTTCATTTCCACCAGCGAGCCCTTTATTTCCATTGTTTGTTTGTTGGTCTTTTTACAAGACCAACAAACAAACGGGCAAGTCACACTGTAAGGGCTCAGTAACCGTTTTATCTTAGTGACAAATAATCAATGCTTGAAGCTTAATTTGGATATGTCGGGCAGCCTTCTTACGGGCTATGAAAATAGAAGGTGGAGTCGCAGCCCTTTCCGCACTTTTGCATGCCACGGGAGACTCCGTTGTTCTCATCCGCCACGGAAGGGGTCTTTAATCCTGCAAATTCATCGCAATGCTGTGAGTGATTCGCACCGAAAATCCTGCAGCAACACTTGCCCCAAATCCATCAGAATGAAAGGCCCCGTTTTCCCGTACCTCACAGGCCTCGCTTGGAGTCACGGCAACTTGAAACATCTCTTTCGTCCACGCGAGTGGACAACGGGCACACACGAGATGACATCGTTTTTGTTCGGATCCAACAATTCACAGCCCAAAAACTTTGCCCTTCTTTTCTTTGCTTTCTTCTATTTTGAACCCAAATGGTGTCAAACCGACGACGATTGGCTTTTATGCGAGGGGCCGAGTGCATTTGCTGTTGTTTCTGTTTCAACAAAGAATTCTTTTTGGAACCCCCCCACCCCCACCCCAACACACACAAAAAACTGTGGCCGTAGAATGTGTTAGCGCGTTTCCTCTCCCCTTCCTTAGTGAGCCCAGGCAGATTCGGCGAATGCCATATGCCCCGATGAAAGCGAGCGGCGGGCCAAGGAGCGCTGGGTGGCTGTTTTGTCATTAGCCCCTCGCAAGGCTGAGGTGGAAACTCATTTAGCCCCATGCTGGACCTTCATTATGATCGACTTGTATCAGATGGCATCTCTGGCTGGGATTTGTGGCTCCTGGCTAACGGGCGGGAAGACGCCGCGGCCTCGGCCCCTCTCCAGCCGCGGCGGGGAAAGAAAAAGGGCTTTCAAACAGGGAGGGACGGGGGCGCGGGGGGGCTCAGCGGAGAATCGCCGGCCTCGTAAGGAGAAACCAATCGAGAACTGTCAGGGATGAGGTGGCGGTGTGTAACCCGAGTTTAAAGGTCAGTGACGCAGTTTAGCCGCTTGGGACTTGCAGCCTGGGTACACTTGGTGAAAATCAATCGTTTGACATTCTCGGCGGACGGCAAAACACGAGCGGAATGCGCCGCCCGTCTCGGGATGGGGCCTTGCCGTTGTCGACTGTCCCGGCTCGGCGATGGCAACATGACACACGTGGCGGAGGTCTGGGTTCCGTCGAGCGATTCCTTCACAGACATTGCTTTGATGACGGAACGAGAAGGGGTCTCGCCCGTGCCCGGAAGTGCTCATCTTATGTTTGTGACAGAAAGCCACCCAAGTGTAGGAGCGGTGAGCCTCAACAAGGACTCCCGAGTGGAGAAAATGGGTGGATGAATTCAACGTGGAAGTGGCAGAATGGACCGCGGTTGACTTTGGATGCTCTTCCGTCCCTTTTGTGTCACCGCTACGCCACGAAAGCGAGAGCGAGAGGCCAGTCTCCGGATTTGGAGTTGAGCCCTTGCTGTTGCCGCCAGGGCAGATCGGTGGCGGCGGGCGCCGCGTTCCCCTCGTAGACCCAATTTACCCCGGCCGACCACCCACCCTGTCTGGCTCGCCGCTCGTTCCCTCGCTATCTATCGAGAACCTTCTGTCCTCTTTTTCATTGCGGTGCTCACAGATGCACCTCCCGCATGTAAATGCGCACGCACGGCAAAGAGACGCTTGCTGCTGCTGCTGCTGCTGACGCAAGCTTGCACTAATGCGCGTCCGCGGAATACAGAAATGATCAGCTTCCAATATTCCGACGCAAATGACAGCGACAAATTTCCCGCATTTTTCTGACAGTCGGGCTGGCTCCTGTAATAAAAAGTCAATGAACCACAAGCAAGCGATACATTCATTCCAATGACAAAGAGATTGATCATTTTCAGTCTGTTTTCTTTTTTTTTTTTTTAATGAAAACATGCCTGTCTTCTCAAACATGCGAGCATGCTTACTCTTGAGGAAAAAAAGAATCAAATAAAAAAAAAATCAGGGGAGGTCCCTCCATTCCATCAAACCAGAAGACCAGCAAATACATTCGCTAATAGAATTTGCCATCCTGGTCAAAGTGACAAGGGTGACAAAACACAAGCGCAAGCGACACAGCGGGTGATGTCAAAGAACAAGATCAAGGATGCCCGCTCTCGCTTACCTCATGTCGCCCGCTAAGCACGGCGCTGTATCTTTAGCATGACCCGAAAACATGCTCGGAGCCCAGGTAGGCGTCGGATGCGCCTCGACTCCCCAAAGGAGAACGTCTCGATGCCGCGTATCAGCCCGGCGCGATTGGATTCTCTTGACTTTTAACTGGGTTAACCCGCTTCCTGCTGAATACAAATTCAATTTGAGCATGCTGCGGCTTTTTTTTTTTCCATTCGCCATGTGTGCTCCCCCCTTCTTTCGCCCGCCTCGCTCTCAATAAACTGGCGCGACCGAGTAGGAGCCATTTGCCTCCATTGAGTAGACGCAAACTATCAAATTAAAATCAAGCGCTATTACTGGCGTGAAAAAAAGAAAAGAGCGAGCGAGAGCTGGTGGGCGACTGGGAATTTCCCCCCCAGTCGACGATGATCCGCTTCCTTTCTGTCTCCCGCTTTGCTATTACTGGCGTGAAAAAAAAAGAAAAGAGAGAGCGAGAGCTGGTGGGCAACTGGGAATTTCCCCCCAGTCGTCGACGATGATCCGCTTCCTTTCTGTCTCCCGCTTGTGCTCGGGCAATTGCCGAAAAGCCAAAACGGAATGAGAATGTGAGAATCAAGTTACAATCTTATGAGTGACATCTTGACTCAGCAAGAAGAAAAAAACTTTTTGTTGTTTTTTTTTTTTTTTGACATGGAAATGTCACAAACAGAGCTTGGTGTCGTGAGAAGTTCCTTATTTGGCAAGACATGAGGGAAAACATATTTCAGCCAAAATGCTTCAGTAACATTTCAATGTTTTGGTTTTTTTTTCTTGATTTCGCCATCGCTCCCCCTTCGCGTGAAATGTCACGTGACAGAAGACAGCATTTTAAAATCCATCGGAAGAAGTTGACAGCACATTTTCGAAGATCCTCAAATAAGTCCAGAGATCTTTGTTGTTGTTGTTGCTGTTGCCGTTGTGTTCTCTTTGGTGTTCTGGTGTCCGTGTGAAATAAGTCAAGAAGATCTTTGTTGTTGCTGTTGTGTTCTCTTTGGTGTTCTGGTGTCCGTGTGACCGTCCTCTCCATGGGCTAATGGCAAAGCGAGGGCGAATGAGGCCTAAACAAAGCCAGCCGTCTCCGTGGGCTAATGGCTTTCCTCGAGCAAAGCGAGGGCGAATGAGGCCTAAACAAAGCCAGATGAGGGAGTCAGGAAGCCTTTCAGGACTTCATTAGCTCTTCTCTCTGGAAGGGGAAGGTTCAGAGCCCGGCAAGCTGGTACTATTTAGCTGCTGAAGCTCAACTGGGACGCTCACGCGGCCACTCGCAGCGCAGACCAAATACCCTCTCGCTGTCCTTGCGTAGCCCCTGACTGAGGAGAAGACGTGCTTTGAGATGCGACTTTTTGTACAATCTCCAATTTGCAGTTTGGAAATGTTATTCAATGGGGATTTGTGTTCGCCCTGTGATTGACTGGCAACCGGATGCGTTATTTAAATGTCCCGAGCGAGGAGGTGACGTGGCGGGCGAGCCTGTTAGCTCATGAGCCAACAGGTGGCGAGAGCTTTGCATCACGGTACGACGGCCCGGCGAGACGTGTTCCAACCGCCGAGGCTCGACGCGGCTATATTTTCGTCGCTCAAACATGTCGGGATGTGTCAGCGTCAAAAAGAGACGAGACCAACGCATGCGGCTTCACGCAATCAGCGGCCGCATGCCACGGGCATTTTGGAGCGGAGACGACGACTTGATTTGTCACTATTTTCAGGCCTTTTAGATCCGTGCGGATTTCTGACATCATTGCAGCTTAGCGCGATTGCGAACAACGCTTTTCTCCGTGCTGCGTTACCTTAGAAGACAAATGAATTTTCAATTGACTTCTGCCAATCTCTAACAACTCCTGTAGGTGAGGCGAGGCGAGGCCGAGGCGAGGAGGATGAGCTCCACGGGGGATGCGGCTCGCGTTGAAACCGCCCCGGCCGCACCGCTGCCGTCCTCTCTCTTCGGGGCCCGGAGAGAACGCGGAGGCCGGCCCGATCGGACGGCTCTCCTGGCCGGAGACGGGCGGAGCCGAGCTTGGATGAGGAGGCGATGCGAAGGAAAGGGCTGAGAGGGAAGCCGACGGGACAACGGGGAGGTCTGTGAGGTGGCCCTTTTTGTCCGCGTGCCACTGATAGGATTGGCTGAACCGGTTGGCTTTTAATCGGATGGTGTGCGCTCACCTGCGGCGTCGGCGTGCGTTGGCTTGAAGCACCACCTAGTGCTCTCTTCTGGCACCTCACCTGTGAAGTCAAGCGTCAGAATTTGGAGAAACCTATTTGTGATTTGCAGAGCATTAAAATCAAGCAGCATCCATTTTTTTTTTTTTTAACCTCTCTTAGGTGCCACATGGTTGGAATGATGTTCAGGTCACGCAATATGTGCATTGGTGACGGGACACGACTTGCCGGAGCCCAACACCTCCGCACGATTGGAGCACTTGCGAGCCACGTCTTAACGGCACGGTGTATCCTACGTTCACCGAGTCGTCACCGCCAGCCACCAGATAACAATTAGAGCGCACATGGCCGAGCAAACTCCCCCCCTCCCCTCCCCGGCCGCTTACTCGGCGCTCATTTCAATGTGCCCTTGAACACGACGTCCTGTCAACACACATCCATCGCAGGCGGCCTACTCCAAGTTCGCGCCGCAGCCCCATCGAGCCCTTCCAAACAGGCCGGTGACAGTGATGTGAGGCTGTCGCGCCGCATCAAGGTAATTCGCTCTCAGCTTCCACTTCGCCCCCGCCCGCCCGCCCGCACCCCCTGCAAACCCCCGCCCTTGTCAGTCGAGCGCGCCGTGACCCTCGGGCCTTGGGATTCGGCTCCCCAGACCTGTTTATTTTTGATCACAACAATGAAAATTAGCATGATGCCGAGCGCCCGTGCAAGCCTTCGAGGCTGTTTGTGCGGATAAAAGGTGGTGTGTGTGTGTGTGTCTGCGTTTCTTCGTGTGGGCTGGAGTGACAGTGTCACCTTCTTATCATGGGGCCAGTGCGGTGTAGACAGGGAGATTTGGCTGCAAGATTGAGGGGCTTCTACGGTTACGGCATTGCACGGTGACAGATATCAGCCCGTACGCGGATTACCGAAACAAAGATTCCGTTAAAAAAAGTGTCAGAATGACTGAAGTGTCCCGTGGCGCTTTTGCGGCAGACGCGTCAAAATTACCGATCGCGTCGCCGCACCTTATCTCATTTGGTTTTAATGTCAAAGCGATTTCTCTCACCTTCAGATTGTGGCGCATGTGGAAAAGTTTACTCACCTCAAGTTTCTACGTTTGATGGAAATGTCCCCCACGTCAATAGCTCTGTCTTTTTATTTCTCATTCAAATGCAAATTTATGCGATGGCCATTGTGTGAAAAAGTAGCTTTTTTGTTCCTCTTATTCAAAGTCACAAGTTTGTTGGTCATCACAATTAATAGCGGCGCTTTTTCTCACTTCAAGAAGCGCCGCGATTGCCTCGCACGTCGCGGTGGGTTGATGAGGCTCGCTCAGGTTCTGGATCTCACGCCCTGGACTATTTGCCTTCACAAAAAGTTGATCCAATGAACCGAGCAATGCCGACAGCATCGAATTGCCTTCTTGACCGACTCGAGCGCGTTTCGAAAAGTCGGCGCATTTCATCCTTCCCGTTTTCTGGATGTGGCCTTCAGACCAAAAAGTTTGGAAAACGGATGGGCGGACGGACGTATTGGATACACGTATGCCGAATAACGGGATCTTGGACCTCGTTGGTCGGAGCGGGCGGGCCACGTGTTGAGGCGCTCGTGCGAACGAAGGGACAACTTTTTTCCGCACATCCGGCTGAGGCGAGTTGGCAACGCCGCCGTCCATCCATCCCGCCGGGCGCTTTCCGTCGTAAGTCTCCCGTTGGGTTCATTCGCTCTCGCACGGGGAGAAAGGCAGAAACGGCAGCTCGCCGACGATCCGTTCAAACGTGACGATGACTGAATTATCGGGCATCCGCATTTGTTGATTCCAATGCGGTGAGCGGGCCGACATTTCCTGCCGACGGGCCGACGGATGACACCGATACCTTGTAATTAAAGGAAACGCGTACCGCTCCATAGCCATTACGTTTGGATTTTGGCTGCCTCCTTTTCTGCCTTGACCTTTTTTTTGTTTTTCTTTTCTTTCAGTGTCATGCGGATCAGTTCTGCCCGCAGAGCTGCGTGCGCGCATTTTGTTGTTGTTGTTTGATTTGTGGTGGAAATGGAAATCGTCCTGGCAAAAATGACATCCACATGGCAACAACCTCTGCGCGCTCGAACAAAACAAGGTTGGAAACAACTGACGGCATGTTTCCAGGACGCGATGTTCCCTTTTGAAGATTGAAAGTCCAACCTGAAGGCTGTCGATGTCCTGATGAAGAAAAGAGCCGATTGAGGAGCAGCTTGTCGTCGGCTGCTCCGCGTGTCAAAGGTATCGATGTCAACGTGGGGTGATTCTGGCGAGGCTTGGTGCCATGACCGTCCGTGCTTTACCGCCTTAATAAGAGCTTCCGTTTGAAACGTATAAGTTGTGCCAAGTCGTACGGCACTCCCACGCAAGGGTTCCCAGGGTCCTCTTCGTGTCAGGATGCGGTTGTCATGGCACGTGAGGACGCAGACGCATCATCTCGTAGCCGTCACCGAACGACTTTTCTTCCTTTCGCTTCTTTCATACTCATGAAGACGGCTCGCCCTGAGGAAAGAAGCGGCTACATTTTCACCTCGTCTGAAAGCAGAGACAAGGGAGCGGCGTGAAAATCACCAGTTGGAAGGTTCGACGCGCCGGCTCAAGTCAACGTCAGCTTTTGGGCTCGGCTCAATGATTGGGACCTGGAGTTACGCAATGCCGGTACGGTTTTGGTTGCTTTTTTGTTTGTTTCCCTCCGCCCTCCCACTGCCATCCATACTGTTTATCTTTTGTCCCGTTTCATGCCATTGATGGATCGACCGATTCAGGGCCGAAGGCAGACCACATCCTGGACTGGTTGACCGGCGTTCACATCGAGACGGACAACCATTCGCGTTCACCCTCGCCGAGTTGGAAGGAACTTGCGTGGAAGTCGGGTACGTAAAGCACCACAGCGCCGGGAACACTTTTTTTTAACCATTAAAACAAATTTTTCATCGCACTTGTCCTCATCGGGGTCGCGGACGAGTCGTCGTCCGGCCCGGCTGACTTGAGGTGAGAGGCATTGTGCAGTCTCGAAACTACGATCCTTTCAAAAAAATGCAACGCTATTTTGCACCCCTATCTCTAGATCTTTATCGCGAGAGAAATGTTGTACCATTTGCAAAATCACCTCAACATTTGTATTGGAAGTTTAGAAAGTGTGCATACGTCTTCGCAGTTTCACTATTTGTTGCTTACTGTTGCATCAAACCAAATATTACCCTGGATATCTTTTACAAATATGTGCCTTGAGGCTTAGACATTTTCTATGTGGAGTAATGCTCATAGATTTGTGTGTGTGTGTGCATGTGTGTATCCACCCCATGACAATAGAGTGGGGCCAAGCCTTTTGAGAGCCCTTAATCCTTGAGAACACGTCTGTATGGAGTACATAGAATGAGAACAAGATGTCTGCGGTTGACACTAATCCACAATAAATTAAGATATTTTCTTTTAATATTTGCAAAGCCTTGAAATAAATTTGTCATTCATGTGGACTCGCTAAAGATGATGAACATTGCTTCGGAAAACTCCGGATGCGACTGATCCTGTCATCCACTAAAGTCGAATTTTGCTGCTTCAATTGATGTATTCTTGCGTGTTTACGAGCGGGAGGCTAACTCGCTAGCTAGATAACTTTGTGATACGTGTTCTATTTTATTTTTAATTCTTTTGAAAAGCCTGAATTAGCGACATGGAAGACGCCTCACGGATTGTCTCAATGTTTGAGGCCACTGCGAGTTCCGCACGGCTGTTTCTCCCCGCAACATAGCTTATTACATTTCTTTTTTCCATGCCACTTGTCCCAGTAAATAAAGCGGATGCCCTTTTTTTTTTTTTCCTCTGGCTCGCATACCCGCACGCACGCACGCATGTGAAATGCAGTATTCCGAGGTAATTGAAATAGTGATCCATGAAGTCACAAGTGCAATTTCACTCATAGCCAACCTAGCCATGCTCGTGCTTCCGCTCGTAGCGGGTCAAAGAAGGAAATTAATTTTTAAAAAGGTGCCCCATGAAATTGCACTCATGATAGATGAGGTGGAAAAAGGCGACCGTTTAATACGGTTACGTAGGCTTCCGTATTTTCCCAGCCTCATTGGACAAGGACGGAGTGCTTTGGGCCTTTCGCGATGTGGTTAACCTTCACGGAATGCGCAGCAGCATTTTAGAACACACCCCGTGCAACTGAAGCATTTCACGTTCAGAGTTCGAACTCCCAAAAATGAAAAGTCCAATCGCCTGCGTTGGGCTCGACAGTTGAGTCCACAGACCGATATCGCAAATGTATCTTTTTGTTTTTGAATGACCTCTGTCAGAGAGAGACGAATTTGGAATGGGATTCAAATTCGATTGAGAGCTTATGATAAGCACGGGAAAATCTCTGAAAATTTTGCATTTCTGTTTCACCGCAAATGTTGAGTTGAGCAGAAAAATGCCACCCGGGGGGGGGAGGGCGTGGCTGTAGCTTAACTTGACTCCGCTGCACTCCATGTACCGGTAGCTCCGATTGCGCCAAGACACGATCATCATGAAAACACGCGACGGAATTCTTTGCTGATGATGATATCCATCCCTACTGAACATATTTTGTGAGAATGGATAATATTGAGAGGAGTGAAACAATTTTGCTCCCCTCTCAAAAAGAAAGAATCATTGTTTTTTGTTTTTTTTTTCATCGTGAAAACTCAATACAAACAAAAAAGTCAATTTGGTCCTCGTACCGGGCCATATCCGGTACCTCGTACTCCTCAAACGCTACCCACAGAGGCAAGCTCAAATAATTCCTGATATTCATCAATATTTTTGTTCATTTTCAGGGCGGTGCAATGGTGGACCGGTTAGCACGTCGGATGTGCTCTGCTTTAAACGCAGTCCCGGCCAACTTGGGCCAACAAAGTGGCCGCTCACCCAAGTGCTTAATCTCCCGTATTAATCGATTCCAGTCGGCCCTTGTTCCAACGTGCGCCGTTGACCATCTTTTCACCGCTGTAACGTTGACATTTCAAAGTCCCGATTTCACGTCATTGGCGGAAGGAGGTGGTCCGAAAGGAATCGGCAGCGCTTTTCAACTCGAACCGCGATGCGCCCCGTTGGCGACGACGGCGCTCACGGTGACCGCCTCCCTTGACAAG